TGTGTGTGTGTATAAACGATGTGAGCTGGATAACATGAGAAATAAGCAAAGGTCAAACTTTCGTTTGATGTGTGGCTGCATCTACTGGTAGGCGTACGAATGTTTCTATTGAAAACTAGATTAAAATGTCAACATCCAATATGGTTGCCACCATATAAATGTAAACCTCGTGAGCTGGATTGCTTGAAAAATAAGCAACAAGCCAATGTCTTCATGATGTGCGGCTGCATCTAACCATTAGAAAGGTTCCTTTCAAAATTTTGGCTGCCATAACAAAAAGATGTAAATGGGCCACCCCTATCGTTTGAGAAAACTATGTTTTCTAGTTTGTCCATGCTTTATTGTAGTTTCCTCGAATGACTGGGGGTGGCTGGCGCAGTGGTCGAAGATTAATCAGCCACGTCCCTGGCTCCTCCATTGCACCTGGCGGAGGATAAATTTGCTCCCTTCGCTCGCCAGGATCCGTCACTGCGCCGCCTCGGACATGAAAATAAATAAACTACCTCCCCTCTTCTACACAGTAGAACTCCTACCTATGAGTATCTTGCACCAAAAACATGAAGGTTTACGTGCTTTCCCTTTTTAAATCCTATCCAGAAAACCCAAAACTACAAACATTCACTATTCAAATAGCGATGGGGGACATCAGCATGCCTCTTGTTCTAGATGCTTTCTGTCACTGCCCGTGACTGTACTGCATCAAAAAGAAGGGTGAGAATATCTGGTTGTGCTGCTAAGTCTAAAAAAAGTCCTCTAAGAGAACACTAAGTGCTGTCTCGTCCCTTCGCTGTGGTTCTCTGAGAGCTCAGTCAGCAGCAGTCCAGTCTATGTATACTCCTGCACACTCGACAGAATGAACGCAGCTGAATCATTCAGGAAGTGTTTACGTTGTCCGTCCTTCAGAATTAGATCAGGCAGCATCAGAGAACGCTATCAGTGTTTTATTGCTCTTTTCCTGTCTCATATCCTCATATGAGTCCAACTGTTCGTGCGTGTTATTCAGCTGTGATACTTAACTCAAGTGGCCAATAAAGTTGGCGTGTCTCTCCATAGACACCACAACAGGCCCTCTGTCCACTGACTGCCTGAACATGCCTTCCAAGATTTAATTATAGAACAGAAAACACCTTCAGAGACAAACCGAGCTTAATTAAGGCTTGCTTAGTAATTGCTCTTTGGAGGAATTGAGGCGATAATGAAGCGAGAGTGTGAAAATGACTATTTTCTGTCGTTTTTGCACCTTGCCGCTCGCTTTTCTGGATTTCTCAGTGCTAGAATCACCTACTTCAGCCAGATTAAGATAATGAAAACTGTAAATCCACGCTTAATTATCAAAAAACATGGGAACCGGTCTTATCTGTTGTCAACAGAATGTTCTTATAGGTTTAAAAAGGAAATATTTTTTAAAAGATTCCAGCATGTTTTTCCCCCCAGAGAGTCTTTTGAAGTGGACATTGCAGGACGTCACTGCCTTTTGGACAGCTATACTGCTGAGCAGTCGTCCATGTAAAGTAAATGGGAACATTTTCAGGCAGAATGTGAAGAGCTAATGAGCTCTGTCTTGGTATAACACAAATAAAAAACAGTTTGCATGATTGCGTCAACACTTGTGTAGTACGGTGGCCCTGAGGTGTAAATGAACATTTGAAAAAAAAAAAATTACATTTGGGAAAAAAAAACGTAATTACATTAAGCCAAAGCGGAAGTGGCAGGAATCACATTTTTACAAAAAAAAAAGGAAATTACATTTGATAAAACTGAATCACATAAAAAAAAATAAAAAAAACTATCACATTAGAAAAAACAGCATTACATTTGAAAAAAAAAAAAACATTTCTAAAATTATATAATTTTTATTTTTTCTAAGGTAATTCTGTTTTTTCAAATTTAATTCTGTTTTTTTCTAAAGGATTTCTGATTTTTCTAATGTAATTCAATTTCTTCAAAAGTTATTCCGTTTTTTCTAATGTGATTCAATTTTTTCTAATGTAATTCAATTTTTTTCTAATGTTATTCTGTTTTTTCTAATGCAAGTCCATTTTTTTTCTAATGCAATTCCATTTTTTCTAATGCGATTCAATTTTTTTAAATGCAATTTCAATTTTTTTAATGCAATTCCATTTTTTTCTAACGCGATTTTATTTTTTTCTAATGCGATTCAATTTTTTCTAATGCTATTCAATTTTTTCTAATGTGATTCAATTTTTTCTAATGTGATTCCGTTTTTTCTAATGTAATTCCGTTTTTTCTAATGTGATTCCATGTTTTTTTTTCAAATGTGATTACATTGTTTCTAATGTGATTCAATTTTTTTCAAATGTAATTATGTTTTTTCTAATATGATTCCATTTTTTCAAATGCAATTCCATTTTTTCTAATGTCATTCCATTTTTTCTAATGTGATTCCATTTTTTTTCAAATGTAATTATGTTTTTTCCAATATGATTTCATTTTTCAAATGTAATTCCGTTTTTTCGAATGTGATTGCTTTTTCGTTTTATTTTCTCCCAAATATAATTCCGTTTTTTCTAATGTTATTCTTTTTTTTCCAATTGTAATTCCATTTTTTTCAAATGGGATTCCAGCCACTTCCGCTTTAGCCACTTCTGCAGTGGCTTAATGTAATTCTGTTTTTTCAAATGTTGTTCATTTACACCTTAGGGCCACCATAGTGGAGCCTTGTAGAAAACAACTTGAGCTCTCACAGGATGCCGTTTATCAGTGTTCAGGTGAAACATTTTTAAAAACATTTTATATAAACTTATAGAACATATTTAGATAAAACTGCATGCGAGGTAAAGCTTCGACTACCCTGGTGTTGTTTCTCTCAGCTTTGAGTTCAGAGATCTCCTCCTCCTTCTCCAGCAGCTGCTCTCTGCAGGCGTTCAGCTCCTTGGTCAGTGCAGCAAACTCCTGCATGAAACCAAAGAGAAAAGTGAGAGGATCACGTTTAGCGTCACACAAAACGCTGCAGCAGCCTGAGGTGCAGTGATGCACTGCGCCACGAAGCAGCACTTTTACTTGTTTCTTTTTTTTAAAATTTGTTTTGTTTCACTTTAAGCTGGCTGGACGATGAGAAACGATTAAATCAAACCAGTAAGATCAAGTTCTGCATAAAACGACTCAAGTGTTGCAAAACTTATGACGATCAATATCAGCGTTTGAAAACCGTCATGGCAGAATATCAGCTGGTGCTTATTTAATGCAACACATCTTTCAAACCCAGATCCACAGACTCACAGAGGGGTCGGGATTCAGATACAAGCTGTATAGACTGAGGCAGCCTTTGACCTTTGACCCTGTCAGGATAAATTAAGCACATCAGAAACACACATACGGAGAAACTGCTGCAAAAATTAGCAACCTTGGAGATAACTTAAACACAACCTAACAAAAATCTAATATTTCATTAGTCGATAACAGGAAGCCTTATTATTATTTTCTCTGCTTCTCATTTGGGTTGGGGCTGAGGGGGCAGCTGTTTATTGCTCCAAGTTTTCCTTACTCAGCCACCTACTCCTTTTCTTCCAAGAGGCACACAAAGACTTTTCACAGACAAGCTGAGAGGCGTCGATTCCCCAGATGGTCCTTGGACAGAATCCGGTTTCCTCCCAGTTCACAGAAAGTTAATCATTAACATTTTATTTGCTTTTCAGCAGAATATTCCCTAAATAACAACCTTTAAACTCAAACAAAAATAACTGTTTTTTGACTAAGTAGATGTTGGTAATTAGAGCTGCAGGTGTGAGGGTATAAAATAGATCTGATCAAACTTCTACGTGGACATCTGAGCTACTCCGAGATTCAGCCTTCGTTAGCAGAACCGAGACCGTCACATGTTTATGCAGCACCAGAGTATGTGGAGAGCTGTGCAGAGGTGTATTTATATGTAGGCACTTTGCAACATGGTTGGTAAATTATTTTTATGTCTCGGTACTAACTTCGTTTGGTATGGTGTTTTTCTTTCAGCTCACAGCCAAGCTTATTGATCAGAGAAGCAGAGGCCACATTTTTTAACTTTAATTCACTCCAGAAGACAAACTGTTGGAGAAACTAGACCAGAGGTCTGCAACCTGCGGCTCTGGGGCCACATGTGGCTCTTGAGTCCCTCGTTTGCGGCTCTATGAAGATTTGACCAAAGCTTAAAGGAAATTTTATTGTTCTGGTTTTTATACACACAACAACAAAAAAAGGCTAGTTTTTGCTGTTATTTTTTTGTCAATTCTCTGCAAATGTTTGAACAACACTATTTTTTGCTTTATTAATCAAAGTGGGATACTTAATTTCTCCTCTCATAAAAGGCCACATGGGCCCGAGTTCGTTGTTTTCATTTTCATCTAAAAAGGTAGAAACTAGAAGTTTTTACTTCTTTAGATCATAGTTATTTTTGTCCCAAATGTAAAAATATCAATAAATGTTGAAATTCATTATTGATTACTAGTTTTAAAATGTCACCCCCACTTGTCAGAAAAGCCCCTTCCAACTACCTTGAAGTGGCCCATGGGCCACCAGTTGATCATCACAGTTCTAGAAGGTTTTGTGGCTCCGGGCTCTTTTTTAATTTAATGAGTGAAGGGGCAGAAATGGCTCTTGGATCAAAAAGGTTGCAAACCCTTGAGTTAGACAAATATTTGGATGTTTTTTGTTGCAAATGTCAGTTTTTGTTATTTATTTCTAAATTGTAAATACAGTATTCCCTCTCTACTTTGAGGTTCGACTTTCACAGACTCGCTCTTTCGGGTTTTTTCAACGATTGTCAACTTTAATATTATATGATTGGGACGGTACGGGATAAAAAGTAAAAAAAAACAAAAAAAAAAAACTTGGAACAGACACCGCCATTTTGTAGTTTTCTTACACTGTAACGCCAGTCAAAAGAACTACACTACCCAGAAGCCAACAGTGCTTCCGGACGCTTCTTTCTGCTGAAATGGAGGGGACGTTTTGCAACGCAAAGTCAGAAGTAACGATCTACGTATCTATTCAGCTCACAGAACTGGTAGGAAAGTCACAAATAATCCTGAAACTCAATAATCCACACATCAACCTGGACGGGGCAGTGGGCTTTGTCGCTGCAGGGTAGTTCTGCTGACCCAGAACTGAGCCTGACCAGAACAGAGCTGCTGTTCTGCAGAGCTGGTGAGTAAAACTTTGCAGTACTGTACAGTACATATGTATGTTGTTAAAATTACATTGATTTAAGTTTAGAACATTGCAAGAATGTGGGAAAGATTTATAAAGCCTAAATACTAAAATAAATATGGAGTTCTTACACCTATCCTGGGGGTGTCTGGAACATAACCCATGCAATAATCGAGGGACTACAGTGTTGTTTTTCCTCCAAATTGAACAAGTAATTAATCAGAAATCTAAACTTTTTTCCATTATCCAAAATAAATAAATATATAAATGACAGGCTCATCTATTGCGTTATGTCAGAAAAACAATGTTATCACTGCCAATAAAATGATCCATTCAGTTTTAGCCAAGTGATCCGAGTACACACGGGGATTCAGAATCTGTCAACAATGTGTCCTTCAGGAGTCCCAGACAATAACTGAAGCAGACTACAGGGACGGCAGTCCCATTCTCATTGTTGCAGCGGCGTAACTAATCCTCAGATCCTATAGAGCCACAACTCTTGATGAAAGTTTCGTTTGAATGGAAAAACGCCGATTGAATCTTTGAAAGAAAATGTGACTTTTGAGTCAACCACTTGATGAGGAGCTGAAGTTTACTGCATCAGATGAACGAAAGGTGTCAAACGTTTACAGCACGAGAGATTTGCATTCACTAAATCATGACTTATTGGTTATACACAGCTGTGACATGCACTTTCATTTGGATGTGCTACACACTGTGCACATTTGAACTTAAAAAAAATCAAACAAAAAAGAAAACTTACTGCTACAGAGTCCAACCACCTTAAAAATATTCTTATTTACTGTATATGGGTATGAAATCGATCAAGTGTATTTATTATTGCACTTAATTTAATGTCATAAAAACCAGCCAAAAATAAATTCATAGAGTAAGAAACAAAATCCACACAATTTATTTCTCATATTGATAAGTAATGTGTCCTTAAATAAAAAAATAGGCTTTTGTAACTACAAAAACAGCCAAAGTGACAATAAGTCAACAATTATGGTGTCCATGGATGGGATGGAGAAGTCCAAATATTTTGATGCGTTGGTATTTACACTAAAGAACTGCATATTGATATATCTGGAAAAATTCTTGAGACAACTCTTTGAAACTGCATGAGTTGATATAACTCAGAGTAACCTTTTTATGTTTGATTTCATAGTTTGCCTTTAAAATGTTAAAGTTTTACAAATAACAGTCATCGGCAACTGGTGGCCCCTGGGCCAAATCCCATCTGCACGCTCATTCAAGCTATTAAATTAGTAATATTTTACAATGTTAAAATTTGACATAGTCGTAGCCTAGAGTAGGAAGTGATGACAAATGTGAAACAAATAAATTACTCATTATCGTTGAAAATGATGTCAAATTGCAGAATGAATGTGTGAGAAACGTTTTAAATCCTTACACAACAAACTGAAATTAAAAGGTTAACTGCAGCCAGGTGGCACAGTGGCGCAGTTTGTAGTGTAGCCTCTCAGCAAGAAGGTCGCCAGATCAAATCCTGGCCGGAAAACTTTCTGGGTGGAGTTTGCACGTTCTCTCCGTGAATTTGTGGGTTTTCTCCGGGTACTCCAGTTTCCTCCCACAGACCAAAAACATGCATGTTAGACTGATTGGGAACTCTGAATTGTCTCTAGGTGTGAGTGAGAGAGTGAATGTTTGTCTCGTTGGCCTCTATGTGTCCCTGTGATGGACTGGAGACCTGTCCAGGTCTGCCTTTCACACAGTGACAGCTGGAAATGGGCACAAGTGACCCCCATGATCCGAAAAGGAACAAGTGGATAAAAATAATGGATGGATAGACTACAGTTAGACATTTCTTACCAAATGAACTAATAATAGCAAATGGGGAACGCCCCAGAAAAGAAGTGTTTAAGACAATATGTTCATCTGGAGCAATCAGGTGTGTAACAACAAGAAACCCACTGGAAAAAAGAGACGATGAATAAAGACACAACCGGATTCAAAAACATCGCCACTCTTCCCAGAAGGAGTTGCCACAGTCACTCCAAGGCCTGACTGCACAATGCTCAGGGAAACTGCAGAAATTATTTGTTTGGAAAAGGTTGCTCAGAAAAGGTCTCTTCAAATAATGTGGCATCACAACACATGTTTTAAAGTTGCATCTGATCAAGCCATAAACTTTTAGGAACAACGTTCTTTGGATAGAAAGCGGAGACATTTGTCCACATTTGGTTTAAAAAAACAAAAATATCAGCAGAATCATGTCGTACCTTCAACTATCTGTCATGGTGGTGGAGGTGTGGTGATTTGGGCTTATGCTGCACAAACAACCTTAACATATTTACATTCTCGGGAGTTTAGTTGCACTTAGTTACAGTAATTTCACATTGTTGCCGATTATAATGAAAACTGCCACGAGAAATATGTTGCAATCCTTTCTGTTGAGCAACAATCTACTCTGATACTGCCACGGTACAGCAACTGAACGATGTCAATACTCATAAAGCAACACAAACAGGTCAAAGTGCAGCCATTTCACACAAATAACACAAATATAACGTTTCTGTAGTCAGCTGATAAAGGTGGAGAAGTTAAGGGTTAAACTGTCAGGACAAATGAGCTTATTAGATGTACAGCAAGTGCTTGTTCAGCTAATGACAAGTTTATCTAAGAAGGAGGCTGAGGTCAACTAGGACTGAGCTGTTGCCATGGAAACAGGAGATACGGAGGGTTGGTGTGGTAGCCAAGTCATCTCTGAAGGGAGCTGACCTACAACAGGCAGACAGAAAAAAACAAAGAAGGTTTTAAGGTAATAAGTTAAGATTTAATGTGCTGTACAGCTAATTTTAGGGGCGAATCAACAATAAGATGATCAAAAATACGAGAAGATGACTTTCACAGTCTTATGCTATTTTAAACAATCTTGAAGGATGATTTTTTTTTTTTTTAATGAAGCCAGGTTGTTACAGAGCATTTGTCTTCTGCCTCTCAGCATTTCTTGATTTTTAGAAATGTGCGCAGCAGGTCAGGCACAAAAAAGAAGCGTAGACCTCCCAAATCCTCCTCCCAGAGGAATGCAGCTAATCAGAGTCACCTCCTCGTAAGACGAAAAAAAAAAAATCTCTACAATTTGCACCGTTTGCTTCAGCGCTTGCCAGCCCCGAGAACCCCTGCTGATGCTCCGATGTCATCGGCTTTCTTAGCATCCGACTGCAGCGTAGTCTCTCTGCAGCTCATCGTCAAACCAGCCGTCTTAGGGCAATCCCTTATGGGAGCCAAGCTAAATAAAAGGCTGTGACCTCCAGGGTGAGGAAATGTTTCCAACAATGCTTCTTCCCAAAGGGCAGACTGTCAGGACATTTGACAGATTATAGAGTCCAACATTCCACACAACAATGTTCAGTCAGGTCATCTGGATGGCTTCCTTTTTTGCTGAGACGTTGCGTCCCTCATCCAAAGGACTTCTTCAGTCTGAGGAGCCATCAAACAAACTGTTTCCCACAAACAACAAACTCCATAGTGGAAAAAAAAAAACTGTTTGCTGGTGATTCTGGGGCCCGCCCTCTCCCCGTCAACTCCTCTGAGGCAGACATGCCAAAGTGGTTCAAAACACCAAAGTTCATGCTCAGTAATCCAGGTAAAAATCCAACAATGTTCAGTCAGGCCATCTGGATGGTTTCCTTTTTTTGCTAAGACATTGCGTCCTTCATCCAAAGGACTTCTTCAATCTGAGGAGCCGCCAAACAAGCTGATTCCCACAAACAGCATACTCCATATGGGACCAAAAAAAAACAACAGTTTGCTGGTGCTAAGATAGCCTCCAGGGACCATCTTCTCTCCTGTCAACTCCTCTGAAGTAGTCTCCTCTGATAGAAGAAGTCCTTTGGATGAAGGACAAACACTGCACTAAAACCATGGATATACGGAGCGATCCGATGTGGTGATATCTCCGTATTCTTCACATATACGTACAATTTCCGGGAAATTCCGTATCGCATCCCCGGCAGATTCAGTTTTCGGATATCCCCGTATACGGACACAAATGGATCCTAAAAAAATCCCAAAATCCGGATACTTATCTGCGGCAGATCCCGAAAATATGTGACTCTGTTATCCCTCGGGATTCCAGCTTTAGATCTCTTTGCATTCTTGCCGCATCTTTGACGTATGGTTGGTTTCAGATTCATGCATATACGTGACAGATGTCTGTCGGATATTTACAGATTTTTATCTGCGA